CTTCTTCTTCTTCTGACAACGCTTCTCAATTCTTCACCATCAGTATCAGCATTGGTTCCACAACTTTGTCATCGAACGAGAGTATGCTTTAATATATTTTATTTGGGTTTCACAACATTGTCATCCGTTTCATAACATTCCTATCGGCACCCAAGACGGCAGCTCGCATTCAGCATTCAGCAGTTGAACTTATACAGGTGTTGCTGTGAGACGTGGTTTTCTGGCTACCACGAAACCAACATTTTAAAGATGCGGCTTGAAATTCAGCTTTTCAATTGCCAATACTACAATGTGTATATACACATAACTGTATATATATGTATGTGTGTGTGACATATGTGCCATTATGTGCCTATATATCTACACGAAAAAACTCAGAAGAAAACAACGCTTTCCACAACATCATTGCCCTGGAAAGAAACTTCAACAAAACACAACTTCAGATTTCGGGCCATATCTTTTCCCACAGCTCCGCGGTCAGTCGAGGCGCCTCCTCCAGGGCTGGCGCCTGCCGCACGCGCCGCTCCACCGAGGCGCACGTCCACGCGTTCCTGGTGGTGCTTGGTCGGCTTCGGCAGGACGAATTCGATGCGCTGGTCCAGGAAGGAACACATGGGGATGAATTCCAAAACTTGGGAACCCATGTTGGATTTTAACGTGTGATGGACCAAATCGGATGGTCAGACCCCTTCCTCTTTCCATTCTGAACCAACTAGGGGAACCCGGCCCAAACCATAGATGTTGTCCAATATGGTACTGTAAAGTTCAAGGGATTTCAAGGGTGTGAAATTTAAGTCTGTGACATGATGTTGCTTTGCATGTTGGGGTCACCTTGGTTGATTCAATGAAATATCGACCTCTGAAACTCGGAACTCTCACTGCCCCTTCTTGGCTTCGAGCTTCAGCATCCAACTGCCATTGCCCCCAAAAAAAACGACCACCGCCAGCCGCCAGCCTCTCATTTTTGGGACCTTCTCCCTCCACTTCTCAACCTTTCTTCGCCCCAGCGGCCGCCCAAAGTTCACGCACTCGCGCCGAAGCCGGCGCTGCAGCTGCGAGACCCACTCCGCCCCGTAGAGGCCCTGGCACGGATCGACGGAGCCGACGGACATCGGGCAGACTCGGAACATGGCCAAGCCTCGCAAGAAGAGAGAGAGAGAGAGAGCGGTGGGCTGCGGGACACTCAAATGGGGGACACCTGCGATCAACCTCTGGACACTGACAGCTCCATCCCTTCGTAGCACACGGCATGAGCGACAACTCTCAAACTGGCAGTGAGTAGCCACTAGCTTGGGCCACCTGCGATCCAGCTTGGCAAACACTCTTCTGAAAGGTCTGAAAGTGTTGCCTCCAAGGTGCAATTTGCTCGCTTCGAGGCCATGCACGGCTTCCGACACCTTCGTCAGTCGTTGCAACGTGTCACGTCGTCGTCGTTGTCGCAGGGACTTCTTCAACGCGACAGGATCTCCAAGCAGAGAGGGAGAGAGAGGGAGAGGGAGGGCGGGAGGGAGGGAGGGAGACCATCAGCAACAGGCACAGACTTGGGGCTGGCATTGGCTTGTGATGTTTCCGGCATGATGGTGCTCCGACCATCATACAAACCAAAAAACATCCTCGAAACACTGGAGGGAAACACCCCCAAACATGCCTGTATCTGCCGGACGCTGGCAAACAAAGCGTTGCCTCGGTGTGGCTGTCCCCGAAGCAACCCACTGCCTTGGCCGGTGAGCCGGTGCGCACAAAGAAAAAGTGTTATGTTTTGAACAACAACAACAACAACAACAACAACAACAAGGCACGAACAAAAACTGCAACCCCGGCCCGTCACAACTTATCTTCTTCCTTTGTCTCTACAACGGGTTGCAACAAAAACTGCAACCCGGTCGTTGTTTCTTACCTCCAAAAGAACCAATCTGCCAACAAGTACAAGTATACTAAGGACCGGTGATTTGGGACTTGTGTGGGCCAATGACATAGTAGTTGTGGTCCACTACTCCTAAGTCATTGGGAACACACAAAAAAGTTCAATTTGCAGAGTTGCTAATTCAAGACTCATGACTTGAGAGTTGTAGCCAGCTGATGATCAGGCGATTTTGAATATGTGTGCAGCACACCTGCTTTTCTAAAAAAGCAAAAATTGTATATAGTTCTGGCTTCCCTGCTGAACCTGGCCACATGACACAGGAAGTTTGTCAAAAAATAATTGTTCTGTTTTAGTTATCCTTTTCCTATCTCACCATGCTTCATCATGCCTCCAGGCACTGACAACTCCTATCTCATGTCTTTTGTTCAGCTTTAAGGCGGCTTCTTTTTTGAGGCATTCGGGATTAATCATGTTCTGATGTGTTCTCCACAAGAAAGCCCCTGACATAGTAGTTGTCCACATTACCCGTGACAAAGGAGTTGTAAACCGCAGCAGTATACTTGAACCAGTAGTGGTGACTTGCAACATGTGGCAACTATGTTGGGCTGCTGTTTTTGTCAACAACAACAACAACAACCACAACCACAACCACAACCACAACCAACCAACAAACAAACAACAAACAACAAAAACGCACATGTTTGGCCAGCCACATGTTTGTGACCACCGCCATTGTGTCGTTTTTGCATCGACCTTTCAGGAGGCGTCATGTCTGGTCTTTGAATTCCAGCGTTGTTGCTGGCTTACCTTCAGTGCAGGGTCCTCTGAGGTTCCTATTGAGTTCGTCTAAGGACTTGCTTTCTAAGAAAAATCCATGGGTCGCCGGCTTTTGAAGCTTACTACTTTGCCGGATCCGAGTGCAACATTCTCGGAGTTGGCCATTCAAAATTTGGCCATGCCATGATGCTTGCCACTTCAAGGAAGAATCCCAGAGAAAGGAAGATCTCACTGCTTTTAGAAACCTATAGAAAGCTATTCAATAAAGGAAGACACCGTTCTCACCGCGTGGGATCTGTCTCTCTCCATCCACCAGTGGAACTCTCTCTCCATCCGCGCTGTCTCGGACCCCCCGGCGGTCACGGTCTCGCGCTCGGTGAGGCACAGGAGCCCGAGGCCTGCCAAGGAAAGGACAGCGGTTTGAAGTGGACCTTTGGGTCACCTGAAGTCCCTCATGATCAGAAAAAGGAATGAACATGAGGGACTGTGTAAAACGAACATCGACACCTGCTCCATGCTCCAAACAATGGTGTTTTACCAACCTGCTCCAACGGATCGGATCTCTCGATGAATTTGCATCTCCAAGAAAGAACTCTCCCACAAGGACATCGGCTGATGCAAACCATACCAAAGTCGTGCTGATGCACTGAGATTGTAGGCAGGTCAACAACGAAAACCATCGAGTGATGATCCAAATAGGGTTTTCGCCTCTGAACATGTTCATCTTGGGATTGAAATTCACCTGGTCGGTCTCTTTGGGGAATATTGCAACTCATCTTGAATAAACAAAGAACGACCTCCTGTGTTGGGGAAGGAACATGGACCCGCACACCTGCCGCAGACCACGTGGTCGTGCAGCGCCGCTTCGCGCGCAGCTTATTGCGGAGCTGCGGGGACCGCGCGGGGGCCATGGCAAGCCGTGGGCGGCTGTTGCGGCTAGAACTTTCTGACTAGCTTGGAGCTCCTGGCTCTTGGCGTGTAGAGCAAAATCGGTTTTTTCGGCCCGAAATAGAAACATGGGCATATTCAATAGTGTCCAAGCAAGTTATAGTTATATATATTATATATATATATATGTTGAAGAATATCAAATAGATCATTCGGTTGATTGCAAGGGACCATATGTTTCACAATGTGATTGTGTCACCATCTATACTAATGCGGTTCTTAACATCAGCTGAAGTACTTGTACGGTGCGGTGCAGGCATCTCCAAAAAGCATGGAAAGTTTTCCGCTTCTATCCACAATTCCGGAATCATCCCCAACAGCTACTGATAATCAACTGAAACTCCCACAAAAGGCACCATCACCATCCCACTTTTATCACTTGGTTGTTCCAAAAGCCGGCCACCGTCGGCGGTCTTTTCACTCCTTCGTGTTCCACCGAGTCATGAGAAAAGCCCCGAAACCAGTTGACCTTTTGAAAACGCCACTGAGGATGGAAGACCCCCGAGTGTTTCTTGTGGGGCGCCAGTGCTAGTTCAGTGAAGCTGTGACTGCTGGCCTTAAACGGCGGAGGAGGGTGCAAGAGTTCGAATCCAAAACAGCTGCATTAAATCTGCGAGCAGGTTTGCCAGCATTTATCTGGCTTTCGCCTTCTACCAAAAATTGTCCTGCCCAAGCAACTTTGCCCTTCATCAAATACAAACCCAAAAAATGATTTGGAGCACCTTTAACACTCTTTAACTTGCCCTGCAGCTACTCCTCCTCTCAAAGTATTCTGTTCTATTTTGCAGGATGGTTTGACCCCCGCTTTTTCTCAGCAGAGTGAGGTCAAGGCTAGATTCATACAGCCCCATGTATATACATCCCCATGTGACCACATCTTGCGAGCCCGCGCGATTCCCCCATGGCAATGTGAGAGCTTCAAGGATCCTTCACTTCCCACGTCCAAAACCGCTGGCCGGATGCGCTTTCGTTTGTCGCTTCTGATCCATCGACGGAAGATGCGAAGCATCGATGGAAGGTGGTCAAGAAGGAGCAGGTCCGGTTCGATTTGGGGCCTGGAGGCCATCGCTACTAGGTTGGAGGCCATCGCTATTAGTAACTTTAAAAAAGACACAAATGTTTATATAATTATTGAGATGATTCTGGGTTGGACTGTTCAGCTCCCGATCGGTCGGTCGATGTCGACCGAAACGAAAGCGTTCGGCGTACGCGTTTCGCCCTCTAAGTAGAAGCCAAAGGGCCAAAGAATGTTCTTACAATGTCTTGAACAAGTATTTATGAATTCCGGCATACAGCATACACTTGAGTCACTTGATTAGGGAATTATTCCATTGATTTCCATCGACCTTTCACTTGAAGGGGTCCAAATTTCAAGCCACAACATCGAATCCATGTCTGCCAAAGACCACGCCTGTTGCACCAGGCCACGATCCTCTTTCAAGGCCTCATCCTGAAAGGTGGGCCATTCTCAACAGTGGCTGATGAGATGGCGAAAAGGATGGTCAGAGTCTGATTCGATCAAATCATGGACAAGCTTTGAGTGGTCAAACCGCTGTCAACGGGTTCCTTTGTTCAACAGTTCGGATGTGCAGAAACCACAAGCAAATCTAAGTTCCTCGAGGCAGTTCATTGACATTGAGATGTATGGTCTTCCCGCTCCCTACAAGACCTTCCTCGCCAAGCAAATGGTGGGATTCGTGGGAACCTGTTGGACTCCTCCCAGGGTCCCCCAGTCAAAGCCTCGACCCCCATGCCATACCTGGGCTTCACATGCCGTGCCAAAGCCCCAAACGTTGGGGCGGAGTCTGGGCACGCCGAACGGCAAAAAAGAGGGCGGAGCCATCCTGCGAAAGATGGCCGGCCCGGGCAACCGCCCGCTTCTGAGCGTGGCCTTCGTGAATCTTCGTGAAGTCCTCTCTTCGTGAATTCCTTTGGAGAACGATGGCTACGTGTTGCTTATTTCATGTTCCCTCCCTGAGGCTAAAACATCACCCATCCCCAAAACATCTGCTAGGTCATCACAAGGGTGCGCAGCATTCATTTTTCTTCGCACCTTTCATGCTGTCCCGCCGGATCCACCTGCTTCACGGCCTCCAGCACCACATGCCGATCTGCGCCTGGGTTGGACTCCGTTCAACGAGTTGTAGGTGACAAAACTCACAACCAGCAGGGTCAGAGCCAAGCAAGAATGTTTCTCAGCATTCATGGCTGTTGAAAATCCTCTCACATGTCTTGAAACAGCCAGCCAGGCCACAAGCATATAGTTCTCGGTGTGCTTGATAGTGACTACCAATAGTCCCTTAAGATTGCTTGAAAGCTCCATCTCACAAACCGATTGTTGTTTGGAGGGTCCAATTGTGTCTCAGCATAGGGGAACTGATGGAAACCACTGAAACCACCTGGTAGAAAGGAAAGTCATGAAAACCTACGAGTCGCAGGTGTAGGACTCTTCCTTCCCATAGTTTTGTCTGCACATGGAATGGATTGGGCCTCCACAATCCCTTTTTCTCTGCGGATGGCCTCCCCACCACAAGACCCACTTGACAATTACAAATCCAAGTAGTCACTTCCTCCATTCTTCGATTGATTACCACCTCCGCTGGTCACTGATCACCCGCCTAGCAGATACCACTTGCACCAGGAGTCCTGGACAAATGATCCATTAGATTCTTAATGATTCTTAGATTCCATCACAAGCACTAGATCCCTACTTTTTGCGATGAACAATTCCTTCCTTCAGGGTGGCGTCGAAAAGAACAAGAAAACGAACGCACGGGGGCCCCGCTCCGCTGCTCCGAGACTCGCGCGGGAACGCACCGAAACTGGTCGCCGGAGGCTCCCGACGCAGCGGCAGGTCAGCATGCCGGAGCGGGCTCCCACGCGCCTCCTCAGGTGACATTGGATGTGCACGGGCGACGACGACGGCGGCGAAGCACGGCGAAGGACGGCGGAGGATTTTTTTGTCATGGTGGACACGGCGGTCAAGCAGACGCGGTCATGAAGAAAACCGAGACATGAATTGGGGGAGTCATGTTTTTAGTGGTCCTTTTCATCAAGAGTCCGCCTGAGTCGGTCTACATTAGGGCATGTCCGTCTTCTCTGATCCAGGAATGCCAAACAATGCCCCTTCGAGGACATCTCCACGACCCCGTGGGGCTCACCGCCGACCGTCGCGGAAACCACGGGCGACCGGGCGAGCGCCAGTGCCAGCTCGCTGTCCGAGAGGCTGGCGCGGAGGGGGCAAGAGAGACTGAGAGACTTGTGTGGTTTCATGGGTGATGCGAGTCCAACATTCACATCTGAGTCCAAGGCTCAAGAGACCTGAGTTGAAGGGAACCACTTCAAAGAGTTGGGGCCCCGTTGCAGTCTCAATGGACCCAAATCCTCAAAAATACCGTGAGCTGCTCAGCTCTGCACTTCCACACGGCGCCATGTGAAGCTGACAAGTCTTTTGGGACCCCCAGACTTGTAAGTGGAAATGCACGGAAGGACAAACACTCGGTTGAAATCTTTCGGAGCTCGTTGTTTCATCGGGTTGTGTTCTTCAAGGGGATGGTATCCATCATGGCATAGATGTTAAACATGTTTCATCGGAGTACCAGGGTACCACCGGGTACCACCTCTCCTTCCCATCGAAACATTCACCCCTCTGGCTATTCATCTCCCGGGATGCACTCAGAAACCTCACCGAGCTAAGGATGGTTGCACGTCAGAGCCCAACACTTCGACCCGCTGCTGCAACATTCGCCGGCAGGGCTTCTCGACCTTGGATCAAGCTCCACTGTTGGATGCTTTGGGGCAAAGAAACTCCATGCGTTGGTACTCAATCTTGGTTAGAAACAATAACAAAAATCGGATGTTGATTCCTGGCTCTTAGCTGGAACAAAAAGAGGGACATCAAGTGACATCCATGACACCAAACATCGACCCACGAGTCGGACGAAAACGTGCCCAAGACACCTTCCCAAGAAAGCAAGACTGGCAACATGAAGGCACCAAGACACATTCCCTGGTCTTCGAATATCACGGAGCTCTGTTGCTGTCCAACAACCCTTCGGGGCTGCGTACAACCATCATGTGATGCAGCCGGGCACACACCAAGGCTTTCACCCCACAGGGGTTCGATCCCAAGCACCCGGGTCCAGACCAAAGGCCCATGAGAGGGGTGAAGCTTGAAGCTGCATGCTTCGGTCCCCAGCACATGGATGCAGCCGGCACTTGAGATCCGCAGACGCAAGTGGTTGAGACTGAAAAAAGATCGTTCTGGTCGTTTGGGTTTTCAGGTCTACATCGTTTCATGCCTCGCTCCCACCAACTTCCCCAAGTCAGGCGTCGCTCCCCGCCGCCTTTTAACCACCAAATCCGACCCTGAAAGTGGACCGCGTGACCCGTCAATTCGGCGCCTCGAGGCTGGCGGGCGCCGAGGACTTCAGGGCCTCCAAGACCAGCTTCGGATTGGCCCTCGCAGGTTGGGCGCATCCACTTCCACATGGACAAACGTTGACTTCAGAACCGAAGGGAAAGCGTTCACAGAGCCCATGAGACTTTGGGACCCGCCGTCTGCCAAACGCAAGCGGCGTCGCTCGGCTGTGTACGGGCCCTCCGAAGCCCCGCCGTCCTCAGCTCTTTGGACAGGAGCTTCAAGACGTCCCCGTTCTGCCTGTGTTCGAGGCAGTGTTTCACGGCATGTTTCCAAACCACGGGCGTTGACCCAAATGTCCTGTCCTACAAGGAGGGAGATGGTTCTTCCACTGAGGATCGCCAGGGTCGCCACCAAAGAATACACATCGAAGTCAGACAAAACATCCTGAAGCACCCAAGCCAAATGGTGGCCAATCCGTCCAGAGGCCTCCTGAAGGCATCACGAGTCGACACGTCAAACTGCTGATCATTCGCTCCCAGGTGAACCCTCTGTGAACCCTCTTGCTATGACAGGTGAGGTGTGTTTGGGTATAGCTCAAGCGTCAACGCGATGCCAATTTGAAGAAGACGACCGGATCCATCCGCAGGTTTCATAGCAGGTCTGTTTGAAACTGAGACCCCGTTGCATCGTCCACACATTGAATGAGGAGAGGTATGTGAACGATACAAAGCCTGAAGCTCGGAGAAAATAGAAATGAACCATGTGCTGCCAAACTTGTGCCTCGGCTGCTCAGAGATCCTTTCTGTTTCACCCACACATGAAGAAACCCTGCAAGGCATTCAGCACTCAGATGTCCGTAACTCGTACTTCCATTCTCTCATTCAATCTACAGATTCTACAGTATTCTTCTATCTCGACCTGATGGAGAGAAAGAAAAAAACAAACAAAACAAAACAAACAAACCAAACAAACAGCAACGACAACAACAACAACAAACAGGCCCCCGTCATGGCGCCCTCCAGGCCCCGAGCTGTACTCGCGCCTCACCGCCTTCATGGCCACTTGCAAGTCCTCCCGGAGCACTGGAGGCGCAAACTGTAGCGCGAAACCACAGTGCTCCACGGCCTCCGCTTCTCGCGCTTCGCGTTCGGAGGCGCGTGCGAGCAAAACTCGCGCACTGCAGTGCGCATCCGGAGCATGCACGCCCACGGTGAAGGAGGGCAGTGGGGTGGCAAGTGATCCTTTTGAGGGGCGTCCTACAAAAGTGAACCTAACCTTCCAACGGTTCATTGGATCGGGGGGTGGTCCACACCGCAGCCACCCCCGAGCCTGCCTGCATCACGAGCTCCTTGTCATTGCGAAGGGACTCCGAGGCAAACCTTGGCATGTGGCATTCGGCCGTCACCGAGGTGGCCAACGAACCGGAGGCAGAACGACCCAGGTCCCTGTAACTTGCTTAAAGCCCTCAGGTGGTCATCTGCACGCACACAGCCGCACACAGAATCTGAATCAGCAGCGCACAAGATGTATTCTGCCACACAACTGGCATAAAGCAAACCCAAAAGTTTAAAGGTATGGTACGTTCAGTGACATCCGCCTTTGCCAGCGCGAATCACGAACCCTCTGGGTGTGGATGGCACGTGGCTACTCCCTTCCATGAGCAGCTGACGCAAGTTCCGCAATACAACCTGTAGAATCGTAGAATCGGGAATCGCCCAATGCCCAAGCGCACATGACCTACTCAAACCAACTTCTTCCACACAATTACCGCTCAGCAGTTGAAGTGGCAGCCCAAGACCTCAACTTCTTTGTGAACTTGTCTAAAGTCCACAGCAAGCCATCGTGCACATGCTCTAATCTATCTATCCATCTATCCATCCATCCATCCGTCCATCCGTCCGTCCATCCATCCATCCATCCATCAATCCATCGATCCATCGATCTATATATAACTATATAATATTATATATAGATATGGAAAATCGTTGATCACAGCGGTCGCACTCATGTCATGGTCAAACACCCGCGCATCTACAAACAATCCGTGTGCACAAGAACCTGCGTCCCTCAAAGTTGGCCCAGTTTCACCATCTTCAAATTGCATCTCAAGCCAAGAGGGCTGCTCTCGAGCTAACAGGGCTGCTCAAAAGCTGGCGTTGCATCCCCGTTCCCACCCCGCGGAGGCATCCTTGCAGGCGGAATTGGCCGCAACCACACAACCGTGCAGAAAACGCACCTTTTTAAGCCATGGACTACCATCTGCAGGTCTCCTTCACAGACCCAACTTCCAATGTTCATCTACCATCTGCAGACCCTGCACCAGTGGTCTATACTCTCTTCACCATCTGCAGATTGGTGCCTTGGCGACCCTGGGAGGCCCTGCTGCAGTGCCAGCCCACTCCGTTGCACGGCCTCCAGCGCCAAGCCTGCACGGGCAAAGGGGCCCTGTTGTGTCGGTGCCCTGCTCACTCAGAAGAACCCGCTCCAGATTTCTTTTGAATAAAACATGGTTAGTGAGTGGTCTTCATGTTTTCGCGACACAAGCAATTCAAGCAATGTTGAAAGGTAACAAAATAACAATAGATTATAATGAATTCATAATGAGAACAAGAAGCACATTCCCTGGACAAAGGCACCGGACGTCTTCAGTCTGTCCATGTGGGTGGCATGAAAAGCGAGCATTCCACTATGTTTTCAGAGCTTCGAGCTGCGTGTCGTTCCTGCTAAAGTTGCATAGTGGCTCAGCAGTTCGCAGGCGCGAACATATGGACGACGCGAACATATTGCTTTGTGCTGTTGCTCTGAAGTCTCCCCCCGGAAGGGCCCTGCATTAAGTTCTGTTTCGTCTTCACACCAGTTCTCCCTGAAGCAATTTCCCCCTTTGTCCTCTCCCTTTCTCCTTTCCTCTCCACAGATGCCTCGGTCGCCCCGCAGCGCGGGCTCGGCGTACGCGAAGGCGCCACCGTTCTGCCGCACTGCCGTGAGGACCAGCGACCTGGGGCCGTGGCCACGTCGGCGTCGGTGAGGCGGGGAAGACACCCCGGACGTGGCCACGTTGGACAGGTGTTTTCCCGGACGACTCAGGTTTGGACGACTTGTGATTTGTACACGAAAAAGCTTGTACACCCTGGTACAGCGGTACACTTCCAGGTCTGCAACTCGTACACGAAATCCCTTGTCCATCCTGGTACAACAAGCGGTGAGGGAAGGATGCTCCTCACCAAAGTGGCCGCAAGAGGCCTGTGCGGGTGAAAGCCATGGTGAAAGCCAGTGGGCAGGTCGATGACCACAAACGTGCTCGGACCCGCATAGAGGAAGAAATGGCTGGATTCCAGCTGGAGAGACTGGGCACCTATGGACACCCAAAAGCAAATTGGTCAGCCAAGGCGACTTGCACTTGCTGTGCACGTTCGAACCTTTTTTAGAATCCCTTCAAGAAGCGTTCTTCAGTGGGTCCCACTTGTGCAATCCCTACAACTTGGGGGCGCCTTCTTCAGTATGGTGCATCAAAATGGAAAGAGCAAAACAGCGGCAACCTGACGAGTGTTCTTGTCCTGATGGACCCTGCAGCTTTCGGATGGCTTTTGTGAAGCTGGTTGTTGTACGACTGCTGTCCCAGCTTACTGCACCTGAACAGCCTTGTCTGGGCTCTCTCAGGTTCATTGGAGCGTAGAAACTCGAAACCACCGCTCAAGAAAGGCCCTTTCATGCCCCTCCACCAGAGTCCACACAAGCAACAGTGGCGCACCCTTTCTTCTGCGATGACGTGCTCCTTTCAAATGTTGAAGCCACAACACAAAAAGACCGCCCATGTTCTGCGAGGGCTGCCAGGGTCTTCAAGGTCTGGTTCCGAAAGGGTGGTGTTCGCAGGATTTTGAGACATCTTGGGACGTCTTGAGACATCAAACACCCGAAACACCAACCCAAATCGGAAACGAACCCTTCAATGACTCCTGCGGCCACCTGTAGCGTGCCAAGAAGGAGATCTCACAACCTCCTCCGGGCACCTTCGTGACCACATGCGACATCACTCCAAGCTCCCAACAAAGCGGGGGCTGTTTGTTGTTCTTGATCCCTGGTGCTTTTGTGGAGATTCTGATGTGGAAAACCCAAGTTCAAGTGGTGGACTCCCTTAGCCGTTTCACCGGATGCTTTCACTACCGCTGTGACTTCACCCGAGCCACCCGAACCTAAACAATATGGTCAGAGTGACTTCACGCTGACTTCACGCCCTTTGCCACGAATTCTGTTCACTTCAAAGACCTTCCAACCCCAAAACGCGTAAAAACAACATGTCTTCGGTGGAATCAGTTGTAAGACCGACGTTTCCATGATCCTCTCATTTTTGAATTGTACGGTAACGGACGTTTGAAAAAAAGATTACGCTGCTGCATCATGTACTGTATTCAATCAACAGTTGTAGTTCCCCAGTTGGGAGTCCAAACCAATCGTCAATGGCCCAGACCCAAAAAAACCCAAAAAATTATTGAAGGAATCTCCGGTATGACTCCCTAACGAATAAATGTTCAATGACATATTACTTACAAGTAGAGACACGGACGCCGTGCACCTCCAGGTCGCTCGTCACGGGGTCCAAAAGTTGCCACGTCTTTTGGGGAGGAGTCAGTGAGGAATCCAGTCCATGTGAATCATAGTGCCACAGCCGTCATACTGCCACAGACTGACTCTTGATGACTACAAAACCAAAAACATACATGTGTTGTAAAACCTCTTGTTCCGATTTTACATTATGTTATGTGATTATCAAGAGTCTACATTCGACATATCTCAAAACCGATTTTACATGTCCCGCTGCTCGCATGACCAGCCGTGCAGACCAGTCTACATTCGACCAGGAACCCCATCGCTGTCGGTGGGAGCGAGTTCGACCACAGAGGTGGGGTACTTGGAGACAGGGAGACCGTGGGTGGATCCAACATCAAAAAGGCTCGAGAAGAAAAGGAGGTCAATCATGATCAGACCACTTCGGCGAACAAGAACTTGGTCGTTTCTGTTCGATGATTTGTCCAATTGCGGTGCAAATGGAACTTAGACGAACTTTGGCGCTCACATATGGCGAAAAGTAGTAATCTCCCACATCTTCCCGGAGCCTCAGTACACCAGTACACCTCTGACATCTTCCGCATGCAAATCCGTACTTTGCGCGGTCTGTGCGGGTTTGGGAGGAGAATCAAGGCCCGGATGTAGGCTGGCTCAAAAATGGAGAATATAAAGACCTAAAGAATGGCAAATGTCATCATAAATCTTCATGAGTGCGGTTTTTTTGTTGGAGTGGTACCCTATTCTTGAAGCCATAGCCATACGCGAGGCTGGCGGCAAGCCGCAACCTCCACTTCTGCTTGGACCAAGATCTACCCCTGTGCCATTGATCAAGCTTTGTCCCCCGTCAGAACTGTTCAAAGGCAGTCCTGATTCAAACTGGGTCCAAAGCGGATTCAGCGATTTTCTGTCCACACCACCCCTCGCTTGAAGCCACGGCGGGCTCTGAAAAACGATGGTGTCGGCTGAGACAGATACGAAAATCTTTGCCGGTTGCACTTCCCGGGCAAGTCCAGGGTCTTTCCGTTGAATCACACCAGATTGATTCCAGAAAACCATTCGGGTCCAAATGGGTGAATGTGATCCTCTCGTGGAAGACGAGGGTGACCAGCTGGAGACTTCCGGTCGTGTGCACCGTCGGGTTCGTCGGGTTCGTCGGGTTCGTCGGTCCCGTCGCAGCGAAGCTGCGAGTGGAGCGATGGAGAGATCCACGGCTTGGTTTCATGGAGCAAACAGCAAACATGGGGCTCTGAATTGCACCCCATCAGCCCAAAAACCAGGGGGTGCGATCCAGGACTTCCCTTTGGACTGTCGGACTTTCTTGGCAGCGATACATGATGCTACACTGTAGCTGCTACAACATGTGCTTGTCGTGTTTTCTTGTGTTCTTTTTGCCTGGAAATCGGACAAATTCGGAACTGGCGATGTCTTTGAAAAACAGCTATGCCGGCGACGCAAGTTTCCACAGCAAGTTCATGGGCGAGATGGCCAGTTCTTCGGGCCAGGACGGAAGTTGCCACGGCATTTCCTCCCGGCTGAGTAGTCTACCTTTTGACCTACAGTGTTGACTCCCTAGACAAGTCTGCACTACGTTTCGTGTCATCTGCTTCCATGTCAGCTTGCTCCTCCCTGGCGCTACTTTGATCCACGCAAAAGACCGAACCTCCATCGCATTCTCCGTGGGCTAGACGCCCAGAATCTGCTTCCAGAGGCTTAAATCTCGGGTCGTTGAACAATCAGGCTGTAAGAATGGGAAAGAATCGGACAGAAACCAGAACAGAAACTAAATGAAATAAGAGCAGAAAAATACAAAAGCATCAACCTTTGTGTTGTCTGCGTGCTTTTGCTACCTGGGTGCTAAACATGGAAGAAGCGCCCTTCTTGATTATACATATATATATATATTATACATACATATATTGTGAATTTCAAACCTTTCGGTCCAAGTCTGAGATCAGCAGAGTCTGAGATCAGCATGTAGAGCTTCTTTCTCTCACTGAGGAACCAGCCTTGACCCACTCAGGTGTGTTCATGTCCGAAGCCACGAGTGTGCGAGGCCGCAAGGGTGGTGTAGGGTGGGTCACCCGTGACCTGAGCCATAGAAGCAGTGAGGACACTGCAGGGCGAGGCGCCCGACCGTTCGTACCAACCTTCAGGTGAGCTCTGAGTGGAAAACGCACGCGGCTGTGCGAGGGGAGGAGGATCTTTTGTTGCTACCTTTGTGTCAATCACATTGGTAGCGGAGCTACCGCTAAAGCTCCAGACAACACCTGACCCTTGTGCTTGGTTGTTGTTGACTGCGTGGTTGAGTCGGTGAATACGTTGTTTGGCCGCAAGGCAGTCGACGGGTTGCACAGTGTCTTGGTGGTGTTGTCACAGAGTTGTTGAGCTGCGGCTTCCAGGGAGGAAACAGCCCAATGCCACCGGAAGGTGATTCAGCTGGCTCCAGTTCCTTTACAGGAGGTTTGAGCAATCTCCCATTCAAGCCTGGTGAGACGGACCTCACTGAATGGTCACGGAAAGTAGAGTTCCTGGCATCACTATGGCCTCCAGAACAACTACACCTGCTTGCCCCACGAGTTGCATTGCAATGTGAGGGATCAGCCTTTCAGAGAGTTGCAAGTGGACCCAAAGAAGCTGCGTGTTGGAAGTTTGGAGGGAGTGAAGGCCATTGTGGAGGCCCTTGGAGGGATTTGGGGAAAATCCCGATTGGAGGACAAGTTCGAAAGATTTGAGCGTGCAATATACAGCACGGTTCAAAGAGCCAACGAGACCCACTCAGAAGACAAGAAGAGACTGATTGTTGAATCGCAGGGTTCACTGGAGTACAGAGAGGTGGTATCCAATCTGAAGCTCCTGGGGAGTCGATTCTTCCATGAGGTCCACTCCAGCGGAAAGCAGAACAATCCAATGACCGAAACCTATGAGGCCAATGCATTCATTGCTCAAAAAGCTGAGGGTCATGACCAAGCACCCGCCGAGTCCACCTACAATTTTGATGATTGGACCGAGGAAGAATGATGGATTGAGAGTCTTGCCAATGACGGTGACGAGGACGCCGCCCTGATCATGGATTTGCCAGAGCTGACCGAAGAGACGCTCAACGCCACTCAAGAGAAGTCGAAGCAAGTTTTGTGTGGTTGTGAATCAAGGGACACCGGTGTTTTGAGGGTTTTGTGGGAGACCAATGAAGGGGAAATCATTGTTTTAGCCCACAAAGGGGAAATGGTCACCGAGTGCGAGAATTGTGATGTCCGGACTAGCTTGCCAGAAAGTGCGTTTGCTAGCGCCGCCCAATCACCTGAAGCCAAGTCAATGCATGACGCCGAAGCCAGTGCATTATCGAGCTTTTCAACTCGTGATGCCTTGGGAATCGTAGATACTACTAAGACCGTCATAGGAAGCGGTTTCGTAGCCAATCTCCTAGCCGCAGCA